ATTTATCTACTTGCAATTTCTTGTTTTCGAACTGCTAGGTTGGCAGGAGCTGGAACTAGAGACAGGAGCTCACTCCATCATGTGGCACCCTGGGTCTCGAACTGCTGAACTACTGACCATCCACAGCCTGCAGTTCAGCATCTTAACCACTTGAGCCACTGGAGGTTTAAAAAAATGCCATACTCCTCTAGGCTTTGTTCTTGCGGCCTGGGGGAGATAGAAAGTACGGAACATGTTCTCCTGCACTGTATATTTTACTGTGATATCCGTGCCGTCTATCTAGAACCTCTGCTACAAATTCAAAAGGGTCAATCTGATGTTTGCAAGATGGTTTTTTTTTTTACTATCTTCCCATAACTCTGAGATCACTGATTTGGTGGCTCATAAGAGGAGCGGAATGTTTCAACTCCAGCAATGAAGGTCGTACCCTTTATCCCTTGATGATCTATGTTTTGTTGTGATGCCAATAAAGGTAGCTGCTGATGAGAATGACGACTACAGCATAGCCTACTGCATATTCTGCAGATGAGGAGGGAGAGCACACACACCACTCCGAACTCCACGGAGGAAGGGCATTTTATCGCACAGCTCTGCTTGCTGTACAGTTACATATTCCCTTTTTGTATCGGTCCACATGGACGGCCAACCTCCCCGGGCTCGACCGAACGCACAGGCAGTGTTCCCTCTAAAGCTGAGTTAGTGTGCGCTAGCTCACAGGTTTTTCAGCCTCCGGCCCACACATTTTTGCCTTTGCTCAGGGAGGAGGGCTCCAGAGCAGTGTTCCCTCTAAGCTGAGTCAGTGTGAGCTAGCTCACAGTTTTGTAGCCTCCAGCTCACACATTGTCGTCTCAGCTCAGGGAGGAGGGCTCCAGAGCAAGCTAAGGTAGGCCGCAGCCAGATCACTTGCTCACAACTTTAATGCTGGCAGCTCGCAAGGTAGAATTTTTGCTCACAAGACTCCACAGCTTAGAGGGAGCATTGCTCCAGGGCAAACTGATTTATGCAGCCGCCAAATCGCTCACTCACAACTTTAATGCCAATTATGATTTAATGTAAGATAATGTATATAAGCTTCAATAATAATAACAAAAAAATGATTAAAAAAAAACAAAAAACTCACAACTTTAATGTTGGTCGCTCACAAAGGAGAATTTTCGCTCACAAAGGAGAATTTTCACTCACAGCTTAGAGGGAGCCTTGCACGCCCGCTCCGCCCCAAGGGTATACTTTCACAGCAGAGACCCGCGCCCTTACCCAGTATTGTCAGACGGGTGACGCCATCCTCGTTGCCCAGGGGGTACGTGGCAAACTCGCAGGTGTAGGTGCCCTCGTCGTTCATGCGCAGGGGCCCGATGACCAGGGTGGCGTCCTGCAGGGACTGAGCCCGGAAGCGGATGCGCCCGCTGCCCATCGGGTAGCTGGGCCCATGGTCTGGGTGGTACACAGCCACGTTCTGCTTCTTCGTGCCCGTCTCCTTCACCCAGGTGACCTGGCTGACCTTGATGTCCGGGCTGGTGCTGGCGAAGTTGCAGGGGAGGGTGACTTCCTGCCCCACGTAGCCCGTGACCTCATCGCGAACCTTCACCCTCTGGGCAACCGCGACTGGGAGAGAGAGAGAAAGAAAAAGACAGGGGGTTGAGAAATTAATCCTTCCTACGTACACACGGCAAGCCCAAAGCGCTTTATTCAAGGAATAGACTTTCGTGGGCGTGCACAAGTGTATGTGCACACGGCAGCTTACACCTCGGTCCTTTCCACGCTTGGGTCTCATCCCCGGTTCTTTCAGAGTTCAACTCGCAACGCGATGCCTTGCATTTATCCCTGGTTATAACAGCATAGGAGCTGCGGTGGCTCAAGTGGTTAAGACGCTGAACTGCAGGCTGTGGAAGGTCGGTCGTTCAGCAGTTCGAGACCCGAGTATGCCGCATGACGGAGTGAGCTCCCGTTTCTCGTTCCAGCTCCTGCCAACCTAGCAGTTCGAAAGCAAGAAACTGCAAGTAGATAAATAGGTACCACTTCGGTGAGAAGGTAACAGCGTTCCGTGCGCCTCGGCGTCTAGTCATGCCGGCCACGTGACCACGGAAACGTCTTCGGACAGCGCTGGCTCTCCGGCTTGGAAACGGAGATGAGCACCGCAACCCTAGAGTCGGACTCGACTGGCTTTCGAGCAAGGGAACCTTTACCTTTACCTACAACGGCATCCGTTTATCCTGGGATAAGTGTGGGGTGAAACCTGGGTGACCTCAATGTAACGTGGAAACAAAAAAAACACCCCGAGATAATTACGGGGTGAATTCGAGTGTAGTGTTGAATGTAAGTTTGGGGACAGGGTTGAACCAGGATTTAAGGGCTAGTGCGGAAAGGACCCTTGAATCAAACTTCGTTGGTCTTAAAGGTGCCACTGGACTCCAACTTTATTCTGCTGCTTCGGCCCAACATGGCTGCCCACCCGAATCAATATTCAGGATGTGAAGCAGTAAATGAAATCCCCCAATGCAACCACCATTTGCATTTTTCTAGGGTCAGAGCAAGATGTCTGTCCCCCAGTTAAGGGTCGCCATCTCTGAGCTGGGGGGAAACTGGACATTTGGGGGGTGGAGTTTGAAGAGGGCGGGGTTTGGGGAGAGGAAAGACCTCTCATCCGGGTATGATACCATAGAGTCCCCCTTCCAAAGCAGCCATTTTCTCCAGGGGGGACTGATCTCTATATTCTGGAGATCAACTATAATACCAGGCGATCTCCAGGCCCCACCTGGAGTCTGACAGCCCTAAAAAGTAAAGGTAAAGGTTCCCTTGCTCGAAAGCCAGTCGAGTCCGACTCTAGGGTTGCGGTGCTCATCTCTGTTTCCAAGCCGAAGAGCCAGCGCTGTCCGAAGACGTTTCCGTGGTCATGTGGCCGACATGACTAAACACCGAGGCGCACGGAACGCTGTTCCCTTCCCACCGAAGCGGTACCTATTTATCTACTTGCAATTTCTTGCTTTCGAACGGCTAGGTTGGCAGGAGCTGAAACTGGAGACGGGAGCTCACTCCGTCATGCGGCACACACGGGTCTCGAACTGCTGAACGACCGGCCTTCAAGAGCCTGCAGTTCAGCGTCTTAACCACTTGAGCCACCGCAGCTCCATGACAACCCTACTCCCACACATATCCATCACCAAGAGCAGCCCCCCGGTCTTCAGGCAGAGCCCCAGACCTCAACAGAAGGTGCTCCAGTTCTGCCTCGGTTGATCAAGACTCCGATCACGTCCTGTATTGGCCGACCTCCCCGTCTCTTTCTCCGTCTTTCCCCAAGAGAATTCCTGCAGGCCCCCTTGCCAGCTTCCACAAAAGCACACCCTGTTCTTCAGCCTCAAGTTGGGGGGGG